GGTCATCATCCAAAACCTCAAGAACTCGAGGATCAATCCCTTTAAACTCATCCCCAGACTGATCCTGACACTCGTCCTCAAGATCATCATCTCAATTCGTCTCCTGCCCCTTACCCTCATGAGAGATATTCTCTTTATTTATAATTGAGGTCTTATCTACAAAAAATAATCACAAAGACCAAAAAAAATCATAACTACCCAGATGTTCACTCCAATCTTTCTTTTTTTTTTTTGAAAGCTCAGGGTAGAAAAAGTGGGTATAACTCCAATCTGCTTTGTCTACAGAACAAAATCATTGGGATTAATCCTCTGGTCTGTCTTGATTCTCGTTCAAGCTCACTAGGGTTTCATCCTCTGGCCTGTCCTACCTCTCATGTAGGCCCATCTAATAAAAAAGTGCCCAATAAAATATTATGTGTACAAATTAATAAGGTGCTTTTTTTCATGAAAATCAGAATTCATTATAAAAAAAAAACAAAAAGATATTTAACGGTCGAAATATTCCACATTATTTTCGATGACTTTACTTCACCTCACTGGCAACTGGCGAATTCCTTCGCGAAAGAAACTTGGCGGTTTTGACTCAATATATTTATCGATGCTTTTCCCGACCTCGTCGATTGTTTTGAAGTGCTCATCAGCTAGGTGGTGTTGAAGAGACCGAAATAGGTGGTAGTCGGATGGGGCGAGCTCAGGCGAGTAAGCCGCGTGACGAAGAACCTCCCATCCTAATTCACAGATAATATCCTTAGTCGCTTTGGCGACATGCGGTCGAGCGTTGTCATGTTGGAGAATCACTTGTCTACTTCCCCTGCCACTATATGGCCTCATTTGCTCTAATGCATCATTCAAATGAATAAGCTGCTGTTGATAAACCTTCGCAGTAACAATTTGGCCAGGCTTCAGCAGCTCATAATATATCACATCGTTCATATCCCACCAGATACTTAGCATTACTTTTCTCGCATAAACATTGGGTTTCGGAGTCGACGTCGATGATTCACCGGGATTCACCCACGATTTTTTGCGTACAGGGTTGTCGTATAACACCCACTTTTCATCGTCCGTAATGATTTTGTATAAGAAATTGTATAAGAAGTCTCCAGTTGTTGCTCCTTATTTTCGGGACTCAGATCATGAGGAACCCATCTAGCCTCCTCTTGAATTTTGCCAAGTTGATGTAGGCGATGAGAAATGCATTGTTGAGTGACTCCGAGTTGTAGTGCAAGCTCTGTTTGGCTTTGAGCAGAATTTTCAGCCACTAGTTATTCGAGTTCTCCATCGCCGAATTTTTGCGGTTGACCCGGCCGTTCTCGATCCGAAAGATCGAAATCTCCGTCTCTAAACCTCTGGTACCACTTTTTACACGTTTTATGTGTCACAGCGTTTTTTCCAAGAGCAATACAAATCATTTGAGTAGTGTCGGAAGCATTTTCCTTTAATTGAAATGCAAAAAGAATACAGTGCCTCAAATGTTGCTTATCGACAGACATCGTATTTACTACTATTTTTTAAGGATATGTAAGAAGTATTTACTGCTTCGGTAACTGAATGCTACCAACATACAAAATATTGAAATATTAAGTTTTTGAATAAGCAATTATAAACCGCGAAATATAGGGGCAACTTATTAATTTATACACCTAATAATTCATGTGAAATGTGAACACAGAATGATGAAATCAAATGGTTCTCGTGACAAGTAACGCTGGCGGTAGCAACCGAGAATCAAACAGAATGAGGCAAAAACTAGCGAAATGAAGCAAGGTTATTTTGGATGAGTCCGCATCTGAGTTTAGTTTTCACACATTCCTATGGGACATCCTGTAATGTCTAATGACTGGTGTCTGGTGTTTGGTTTCTGGCGTCCGTATACTGTTCCAACGATAGGGAGATACGTTACGGATAGGCATTCGTATCTGATGTCTGGTGTCTTGTGTCCGATTTATGATGTCTGGTGTCTGGTGTTTGGTTTCTGGTGTCTGTATACTGTCTCAACGATAGGGGAATACGTGATGGATAGGCATTTGCGTCTGGTGTCTAGTGTCCGGTGACTCGTACCCGATTTATAATGCCTGGTGTCTGGTCTTTGGTGTCCGATTTATGATATCTGGTGTCTCATGTGCAATGTATGGTAACTGGTGTCTCGTGTCCGATGTACGACATCTGGTGTCTAGGGTGTGGTGTCTCTTGTCTGGTGTCTGGTGTCTCATGTGTAATGACTGGTGACTGGTGTCTGGTGTTTCTGGTGTCCGTATACTGTCTCAACGATGGGGGGATACGTGATAGATAGGCACTCGTATCTCGTGACTGGTATCTTGTGTCTGGTGTCTGATGTCTGGTGTCTCATGTCCGATGTACAACATCTGGTGTCTAGTGTTTGGTGTCTTGTCTCTGGTGTCGGGTGTCCGGTGTCGCATGTGTAATGGTTGGTGACTGGTGTCTGGGGGCTGGCGTTTCATGTCCGATATATGATATCTGGCGTCTAGTGTTTGGTGTCTCGTATCCGGTGTCTGGTGTTGGGTTTCTGGTGTCCGTATACAGTTTTACCGATTGTAACGAACATGAGGAGATGTTCGTTAGAAACACCACCAAGGCCTAACAACAACAATCCTCGCGACAGTAAAATCTATCCGTCAGTAAGAATTAGGGAGAGAGAGAGAGATGATCGTTTATCACACTTCGATGGAGGTCGTGAGCTAGTAGAATTTTCCCACTCCATTGGAGGTTTTGAGTAGTTAGGATTTCCCCACCCTGGTGGAGGATTCGAGTTAGAGCTTTTTCCCTTTGAATGGAGATTTTGAGTCTAAAGGTTTTTCCCACTTCGTTGGAGATTTAAAAGATACTGATGATCGATTGTTGATTTTTGAGGGCCTGCGAAATGATCGCGAAGAAGGGCCATGTTTAGAGTCATCCGGTCTTTTCGTGGGGTCAACCCTTTTATAACTCTTGCGGGAAATCAATTAGGTTCGGCTGCAATGCCGGCGCTCCAAGTTTAGTCGGATTTTTGTGGGGATTAAATGGTTAAGTTTTTGTTTTTGGTCGAAGGTCGTGTGAAGCAAGCGCAATACTTGCCTGCAGCGAATTGCCGACTTGCATTTTGTTCGTAGAATATTTAGAAATAAATTATAAGGAGTAGTCTTTTAACCCCATAAATCCAGGAGAATAGATCCGCGAGTCGCGCCTAAAATCATAGAATGTCGAGAGAGCATCCATCCGCTCTCAGAGAATCATAGAGTCATTGAATTTAATAATTTGTTGAGTATTACAGTGATAAAAGAGTTTTAAAATTTATTAATTGAGTCGTAGTAGGAGAATTGAGCATTACGCCTTTGCTTCCCCCGAATTTATTCGGCGGACCCCTCAGGTTTCACGCCTTCGATAGGCAAAAATCTTCACAAATCAGAGTTCGCTCCGATTGGTTAGAATTCGCGTTCCGGCCTGTGCTCACAACACTGACCCAGTATACTCAGTTCCGCGTTGACCTGCAATAAAACCAGTCGCTTGTGAAAAACCTCGACAAGTAACTTGTGCCCCCAGATTAGTTGTGTGAGTAATTGTTTCTGTGCCCTGGAATAAATTTTTTTGGATTACCCTGGTCAGGGAGGGATCCAGGAAGGGGAGGAAAACCCCAACGGTGAGTCTTTACGGAGATTTTTATTGTTTTTGGAGCCATTAAATAAGGGCGTCGGTTTTCCCACCTCTCGGTGGTGTCCCGCGTGTAGACTCTGAGTCTCACGTGGAGAATTTCTCCCGATTACTCCGTAATCGTGGACGTGGAATTTTGTTTGGGTGAGATTTCGACGTCCCAGGAATTATTATTCCGTGGTGAGAGCAATTGTTGTACAGTGAAATAATATTTCTCCTTGTTTTTTTTGCGTTGGAAGATCTCCGTTGAGTGGCTCAAGCATTCCCCACGAATGTTTTCCCCCTCACGGCACCCCGCTAACATCTATCCTTGCCTACAAATTACGGCTCTCGCTTCACGCGAGTTATCTCTCATTGAGAATTCCCTCCGGTTGTTAATCAACCTGGAATGGCTCCCAACCATCCAAAATTGATAATTTTGATATCGTTGGCATCTCCAGACTCTCCCAAACATTTTTGCTCTAAGGTTTTTCGAATTTCACTCTACCGATTTTCCGCTACGGCGAGTTTAGTTTTAATGTATTTTTATTTTTTCGCCGTGCGTTATACGTATACTGGTGGGTTTATTTCCTCTCTCTCTCTCACTCTCACTGGAGATTCGCATACCATTCCCCCCAGTTCCCGGAATCCCTGATTATTTCGGGATTAGCAATTATTTTTCGTATTACCATTGAAGAATTTGATGAACTCACTTGTAGCCGAGTTAATCGATAAAGTATTATCTGCGGATTACATAGTAAAATTCACAATTATCCTTTTCAATTTATTATTTGCAGTTTAATCAGTTGTTGTTATAAATATTTATTTTTATTTTTTTTGGTAAAATCAATATGAAAAGAAAATCATGTAAATTAATAATTTTGACAAATTTCAATAGTGGAACAAGTAAAGACAATGTCGATTTCGTCATTTTTTTTTTCGTAGTTTTCACCACCCAATACCCGTTTCTACCTGAAATCCACCCCTCTCTCCATAACCTAGCACACTGAGCGACCCAAGGTCCATCACCTTTCCCCAGAAATCTAGTTTTCTCCCTTTTTGTGTACATTTTAGAGATTTTCGAATTAGTTAGAACTGATTTTGTAGACTCCTCCGTTTTGGTTATTCCGGCTAAAGATTACCTGGTGCCCATAGATTTTTGGATTTTTGAGTTTAACTAGATTCAGGGGAAGAAGGGCGAAGGTAATAGGCGTTTTTAACCCCCATGCAAAAATGTCCCGTTACACGATTGGGGGATACGTGATGTATAGGCTCTCGTGTCTGGTGTCTTGAGTCTGGTGCCTGGTGCTTGGTTTCTGATTTCTGGTGTCTCATATATAATATCTGGTGTCTAGTGTCTGGTGTCTGGTGTGTCATATATGATATCTGGTATCTGGTATCCAGTGTCTGGTGTCTGATGTCTCGTGTGTAATCTTCGCTGACTGGCGTCTGGCGTCTGGAGTTTGGTGCCTCATGTCACGTTTCTCGTGTCTCATGTCCGATGTATGATATCTGGTCTCAAGTGTTTGGTATCTCGTATCATTCTTCTGGTGTCTGGTGTCTCGTGTCTCGTGTCTGATGGATGATATCTGGTGTCCAGTGTTTGATGCCTCGTATCTGGTGTCTGGTGCCTGGTGTCTCATATGTAATGTCCAATGACTGGTGCCTGGTGTTTGGTTACTGATGTCCATATACTGTCGTAACGATAGGGGGATACTTGATGTATGAGCACTCGTATCTGCTGTCTGGTGTCTTGAGTCTGGTGCCTGGCGACTGGTGTTTCATGCCTGGTGTCTCCTGTCCGATGTATGATATCTGGTGTGTAATGTCTGGTGACTGGTGCCTGGTGTTTGACTTCCCATGCCCGTATACTGTTTCAACAGTTAGTGTGTTCAGGACTAACGCAGATAGTACTTTTAGAATAGAAGGGGGGGCGGGGAGTCTTCATTTCATTTTCATTTTGATCATTTATTAACTGCATGTTATGTTGTGCAATTCGATGCACACTGCATATTTGTTGTGTTCGATGTTGACCAAGTCATACAGCATGAAAAAAGCAGAGTTTAAGTATATACAGAATTGAAAAGTGTAAGTAGCATACAGCCAGCTGTAGCATGCAGCCCATTCTAAATACTAGATTACAGCTAACACAGACAGCAATTGATGAGTGGTGATACAGCGGCTGGTGGAAGAATGAGTGCGAGTACATTGCCGCCAAGAGCGACAAACACGAGGCTCCTAAGGAAAAAAAAAAGGCGGAGAATCAGGGTTCGTCCAACAAGTATGCACGTACGGCAGGCTTGAAAGAACTGAAAGTAGGCAAGTCTCGTAGTGATGAAGGAAGAGCATTCTAAAAGTAAGCTGCAGACCCATGAAAGGACCTGCGCATCGATTCAGTCCTGAAAGGTTTAATGACTAAGGGCATCGCCTCTCCCCTCACCGGATGTACAGCTCGCCTAGCCACGAAGAAGTCGGCCAGATACTCCGGCAGGCCGGAGAATAGGACCTTGTACGTGAGACACGCCAGGAAGTACTCCCTGCGTCTCTCACACGTCATCCAGCCAAGCTGCCGCCGGTAAGGGGTAATGCGCTCGTCTCTCTCCACCCCGAAGATGTATCTAACCCCAAGATTGATAAGACGCTGAATCTTCAAATAAACCAGGCAGCAGTAGTTGACCACGGGAAACACAAGAGTCTCGATCAAGTGTTTTCTCAGCTCTTGAGTGGTACTGGAGCGAAAAAAGCGGAGCCGCTTTATGACGGAATGAACCCTATGTGTCATGCCAGCTACGTGCTCCTTCCAGGAGAGCTTATTGTCCAGCACAACTCCAAGGCTGCGCACAGATGATTCAAAGGGAACACTAATGCCACCAATGTTTACGGACAGATCGGGCATAGAATATATCTCGTTCACATAGAACGGAGAGCCAAAGTTAATTGCTTTAGTCTTCGCGACATTTAGCTTAAGCCGGTTACTTAGGACCCAGTCCGAGACACACATGGCAGCCTGTTGCATTCTAATCAAGGCATCCTCTCCGGGTGCAAAGCGCAGATAGACCTGAAGGTCATCAGCATAGATGAGATGCTGAATGCCAAACGCAAAGTTTGCATCAATATCGTTGATGAACAGGAGAAACAGCAGAGGTCCGAGAACAGAGCCCTGAGGCACTCCCCTGTTCAAACAACGGAAACAGGATAGCTCTCCCTTAGACCCTAGTGTCGCCTGAGAACTACCACTGAGGTGCGAAGCAATCCAAGCAATGGCTGAAGAGGAAAAGCCGAACTTCAGTAGCTTTTGGAGCAGGAGAACATGAGACACCGAGTCAAAAGCCTTGCTAAAATAAAAAAGGAGCAGCATAGTCATATGTCTTCTGTCTATCCCAGTCAGTATGTCGTCCTCTAGTTTGAGTAAGACAGTTTGAGTACTATTGTAGGACCGAAAGCCAGTCTGGAGTGGAACCAGGATGGCGCGCTCAACAAGGTATCCAAGGATCTGCAAGGAAGTCAGTTTCTCCAACACCTTGGACAGAAAACAAGGCAATTGGTCGATAATCATTTGGTGACGAGGGGTTTTTTACCTTGCCAAGGGTCAGAATCAAGGATCTTTTCCACTCAGAAGGAAAAGTAGAGATAGAGAAAGATGAGTTGAACGGTAGAGAAAGCGTGACCACTGACTTCGGAATCCCATCCGATCCTTTGGCCTCAGTGGAGAACCTCATCCTCCGTGACAGGTCTAAAGGCAAACCTACCGTCAGCGGCACAGTCCTCCGTGAGGGAATCGAGAAAGTCCTCTACCAGTGCTTCAGTGACGTCATATGAGATTTTCGCGAAGTGAGCATTGATGGCCTAATGATCAAGATCATTCAACGCTTCATCTACACGAACAACTCCCAGATTTCTCAGTTCCTTCTAAATGCACGCCGGGTCGAAGAGCGGGGCAATTTTATTATAGAAAAACAGCTGACGCGCCCCCTCGATCTCCCGATGGGCACGATCTCTAGCCGTGCGATAGTCTGCGAGGGCGCCCCGAGTGTGTACCCTCCTGTACCTTCGATACAAGCAGTCTCTCTCAGCCACTAGGGCATCGAGATGATCTGTAAACCACGGTTTCCACCTGGTACCTCCCCTTAGACTCTTGATCGGGGTGGCCTACTCGATTGCCAGACTTACATTGGAAGAGAGGCACTCTACCATACACTCAAGCGACGAAGCAGCTTCGAAAACCCCCCAGTCACAGGAGGAGAGGACCAAGCCAAAAGTCTGCTCATCAACCGCTGAGTAGTCCCTATAAGTGATGTCTCTATTCAACGACACAGGTGGAACAACAACTTGAAGTATCGCCGTGATAAGATCATGACTATCAATGAACGGCACTTCAGTTTTCCAATAAGACAACGGGGTATCTTCGCAGTCTATGAGACCCAGGTCCAGCCAAGTGTTAGGGCCAGCGTGATGCGTAGTACCATGAGGTACTAGGCTGAGAAAATTGTCCGAGCAGAGAGATCGTATGAAGGCGGCATCAGCATCTGTACTAGACAGCTGATCCGCATTGAAATCACCAAGAATCCCTTTGGTGCTGTAATCATGGAGGTGCGTCTGCAGGTTTGCAATAAAATCAGACCCCTCAAGAAAAGGGGCACGCGGTGGCCTGTAAACAGCCCCAACAAAAATCAGAGGAACACCACATGACAGGGGATTTCACAAAAGAGGTACTCAGGGAGTCCACGACCCTTGCTCCACACATGCGTGGAAAAAGCTAGGATCTCAACCCTGAAGCAAGTATTGATGAACAAAGCTACACCACCACCATGAACATTACGATCAAGTTTGAAGAGCTTGTAGCCCTCAAGAGACGCCAGTTCATCATCAATCATGGGGCAAAGCTTAGTCTCGTTCATGGCAATAACATGAAATGGGGGACGAGAATCTAGAAGATGTCTGACTCTTTCAATGTGCGCTCTGAGGGAGTTCACATTGAGATAGCAGACCCGCAAGCCGTCAGGCCCTAGCATAGTCGCAGCATTACTATCATCCCGGTAAGAATGAGATAGAGACAGAGGAACATTGGGTCTGGGAGTAGATTGTACAGAGGAGGAAAGTGGTTTGAAAGAGATGGAGGAAGAAGGATCTGAGGTAGGGCAAGAAAGAAAAAATTCAGAAAAGACAGAGAAAGCCACATGAGAACTGGAAAATACCTGAGAAGTCGAATTATCTAGGAGCCCCGTGAGAAGTTTTTTAGTTCCTCAAGTGAGAAGATAAGAGTAGCTGAGTCTTCCTTCCTCTTCTTGATGAAAACAGAGCCATCACGGATGAAAGTGGTGTAGTCTTCCTTCTTCGCCAGGTTATTCACTGATCTACGACGTTGGTATAGGTCAGCAGGCAGGAATTCATTCACGTTCAGCATCGACGGTTGAAGCGGCAGGGTGGCCCCGGAGGATTGCACCAGCTTGGTGGACAAAGCAGTAGAGTGAAGCTTGCTGAAGCGTGCCTTGGCTGCCACCACATCATGGGCGAGCTTGCCAGATGTGAGAGTGACTATCAGCGGAATCGATTTACTACTCCCAGTTGCTGAAACCCCCGCAGCCTCCGAGCTCTCAGCGGAAGAAGTAGAACGGACAAACTTGGAAAGCAGCGGTCTGAGGTTGACGATATCCCTCGCAACAATAGAGGGGTGAATTACCTGCAGAACAGCCAGCGCCAGGGACTGGGTATTCACATCCGCTTGGTGATGCAAGCCTGAGATTATGATATCAGCTGCTGGTTTTGCCCTTTCAGCGTTGATACGAGCCCCAGAAACCGACAGCTCCTTCATGGTCGTCTCAACAGAGTCCACCCTATTCGAGACCGCTTCTGGCATACCCTCGAGAATCATCCCAGAATTGAGGTTATCAACATCCTGACGGATCTCACGCTGTTCACTCACCACACCAGCAATTTTCCACTCAGCGACGCCATCTCATTCTCAACGACATCAACCCTATGGAACAGGGCAGAAAGATTATCCAGGACTGCAAGCTTTGAGATGACATCCGCCTGGAGACCGGCCATTTGAGCCTTGACATCAGCTAGGAAATTCGACATTGAGGTTTCCACCTTCTCTTGATGCTGTACGAGACGTTCATCCAGCTTCTCCATTATTGATTTGAGGGAAAGATCAGCCGCGGGGATTTTGAGTGTCAGTTGAGGTCGAGAAACGATGTTGAGGTTCGATGGGGCTGTCCCAGGAATCGCCGCAGCAGCAGTTTGTTGACTCATGGTAGAGACTGAAGTGACAGGTGGCTGTGATGGGGGAACAGTTGCGGGTGGAGCCGGGAAAACAAAGTGATTCTGCCCAGTCACAGGTAGCCTTGGAATAACACCGCCACTACGAGTTCTCGCGCCTACTGGAGAGTTAGTAGTAACAAAACACGTGGCACACACCTTAACGAATTCCTTGACGGAAGCCGCCGTGGTGAAATTAGTTCAGTTCCCATGGAAATAAGCCGAGTATTTGATACAGCGCTCAGTTTTATCCTCCGTAGTTTTACGGCAAATACTACACAACGTACCTCGCTTGCCACCCATCTTCAATAATGCTCGTTCAAGGCACTGACTGATGTATAAGTAGAGTCAGGGTAGTAAGCGTGCAGGAATGAGCAAAATAGCAGGAGAAAAGCCAAGATTCAAATATTTGCGCCGGATCCTCGATCGA